ATAGGACTAGGTCCAACTTCGCTCGTAATGAACTTGTGAATATTTAGTGAGGTAATTGCCCTCCACGGTGAGCCTCTTCTACGTCCAACGTTGTACAGGGTGTCCGCAGAATCCGAAAGCAAAACCAATATCCAATGGCCACCTGTGCTCGACCGGTGGCTACTTCGACGTATATCTACGCACACTATTGGTTACGGATATATCGATAATTTCATTTCTTCGAGGGACATCGGAGAACTATTCGTACTCGTTTCGTGGTCGAATCGTCTTCTGTATCAACTCACTCTCTTACCTCTCTTTTTGTATTTTATTTTTTTCTGATACACGTTTTATGTATGAGAATGAAAGACAAATTCGGATTGACACCGTATACGAAAACTTCAGGGATAAAAAAAATAATTGCTTTCAATCCTTTTTTAAATTGCATTAAATTATGCATTTGGTGTAAAAATTAATTCGATACTTTCTTTAATGATGATTTAATAAAATTGATCGTTGTAATTATCGATTGATAATTGCTTTTCGTTTAAGATGAAATATTTTGATGTAAAGGCTTTTTGGTAAAAAAATAAAACAAAAAAAGGAAAAAAAAATGGCAATGAGCAAACAACGAACGACGAGAGAACGGAAGTTTCAAAGGGTTGAACGACGTCGAAAGGAAAGAAAGGAAAGGAAGAGACAAGTGATCGTGACGATTAGAAAGCGATAAGCGTTACCCCATAAAAATTACTGCTCGCGTTATAAATGCGCAAGCTCGAAGAGACACGCAACAAAGCTGCAATCTCCAGTCTAGGCAAAGCCTACGTGTCTCGTGCAATCGAGGCCTTCGAGTTTCTTGCACGCCATCCGAGCGTTTTATAATCGCTTTTCCTTCTCCCTTTCAAACCCTCTCTTTCTACTTCTTAACTTTTCTTTACCCTTTTTTTTTTATTCCTTTCTGTCTACCCTTTGCCCTTCAAAAAAATCTTTTCCTATTAATTCTTCAACTTCCTACCCGCTGTGAACACCCTTTGACAAAGCGTATTCACTTTCTAAAATAGCCTGCATAAATTAGATATTTGTTTTATACCACTTCTTTTTCTTAAACTCCAAGCAAAAATGGAAATGAAAATAATGCAGGATATCCTGTAGAAAGAAAAAAAGAAAAGGAAAGTAAATTCCAGTAATAAATTTGCTTTATGCATCAATTTATAATATATCGAAGTGATGTTGGAAAGAAAAAAAAAAAACAGAATGAAAAACGAAGCTTGAAATTTGAAACAACGACAAGCTATGATGATCGTAGTAGCATTTTACATCACCTACGTTTTTGACACATCTTTTGTGAAAACGAAAGCGATCGGGGATCGCTTTTCCAATTTGATACAGAAAAGATTCCATTAATAATTTCTTTGGGAAGACGAGATAGATACATTTCATCGTTTCAAGAACGAAGGGGGAATGAGAAGTAGTAAAGCGAGCTATTTGAAAAAAAGTACGAAACGGATGGTGTAAAAAGAGAGGATAGGGGATAAAGGAGAAATAAGAAGAGGAAGTAGGAAAAGAAGAAGAAGAAGAAGAAGAAGAGGAGGGAAAAAGGAAGAAAGAAGGTTGAAGAGAAGCAGAAGGAAAAGGAACATACGGGATACGAGTAAGCGAAGCTGCCAGCCGGTAGCTGACTCGTACCGATAAGAAGGCTCGATTTGTTCGTTTCTTCTCTATCTCTTTCTCTCTCTCTCTCTCTCACTCTTTCTTTCACTCTCGTTTTCCTTTTTACAACAAGAATACGACATTAACCGGCGGACGTAGACGACGTCGAAGATGTAGACGGGGAAGAGGCGACAAACTCAGGCGAAGCATTGAGCGCCAAACGAAATAGGGAATTTAAGTGTCGCTGCTCTGATGAGATCTTCTCTCTCTCTCTTTCTCTTATATTCTCTCCTTACTTTCACCAACGACTACTACTCCCTTTTCTATCTTATTCTCACCCGTATTCGACTTTCTCATTTCATCTTCTCGTCTCTTTTTCTCACTTGAATCCTCCTGCTTTGCGCACGATACACCTCGATCCCTTGGGGGATTCGAAGTCTTCCTTTAAACCCTTCTGCTCCTCTTCCTTCATCCTTCTCGTTTCTTTTCTCACCCTCTCACTCTCTCTCTCTCTCTCTCTCTCTCTCATTCTCTATCTTTTATTTTTCTTCGTAGATCTTCCTCTCTTACTGTCCCCCCACTTTTCTTTCGTTTCGCTCGTGTCACCGATCGATTCGATAACAGAGGATCTCTAAAGCTCTAGATGTTATTCCAAGTTATCTTAGCGTAGCCAACATTGTTTCCAGACGTTCTCAAAACTCGTTATTCTCGTCGCGAGTTCGCGGCACGTATTGTGCGGAAAAATCCAGGAGTAACGATAAGAAAGAAGGAAAATCGTACCAACCCATTTCGCACATCGTCCTCAACCTACCTCCCTTCCTCTTCCCTAAGTCGTTACCACCACGGTCTTCCGGTTTCCGCATTACGCGAAACGATGCCCGCTAGTGAAACTTTTATTTCTTCGTAATCCCCTTTCCGCTCGCTTGCCTTTATTTTGCGAAAGGACGAGTTCGCTATTACGAAAACACCAAGGGTATCCGTGCTTCGGTTAACTTTTTCATAAATAAAGGAGAACCATGCCGGACCGTAAGTAATATCGTTACTCTGATTTTATGTTCGATCCTTCTTCCTTTCTTCCTTCCTTCCAACCAAGAGTAGTATACATCTAATCCTCGGCTATACATTGTTTTTATACGAAATAAAACAACTGCCGATCGACGTAAGATTTATTTATTAATTTATTGACATACTTACCTATGCTTAAATTCATCCTAACTAAATTCATATTATTTATTTAAATGTATTACACGATATAAATTTATTTCACATAATATAAATAACTATTGAGAGAGAGAGAGAGATGATTGGATGAAATATTTTTAAGAATAATTCTTCAAACTGTTTTTGACATTAAGAAAATATCGAAGTTTGGTCACTCGATCAATATGTTTATTCTCATATAATCCTTCCAATCTCTCGTATCAATATTATATGTACGAACGATACCTGGATTCTTGACAGCGATCTTACGAAGATTTCTACGGGTGAAAAGAGAACGAGTAAACGTCGTGTAGCTGTTTGAAGTATCTCGTCGTGAACTCGGATAGAGTGCAGGTCACTGGGCGCTTCGGTCGAGTACTATTTGGCCCACAAATGTAATGCACCGAGCTGCCACTTCACATGTGCGTGCTACACCAATTCAAACGTTATGAGACGTGGCCATGGGCATTACGTCCCTCACAACAATACCTATGACCGTGTACATAACGCGTACATTCTCTTTCTCTCTGTCTCTCTCCCTTTAACTCACCTATTCACTCACTAGGTCATTCTTACTATGGTCATCGTGAAACATAGATACGTACATGGATACAAACGTTGGACGGGCTTTTAATCGGTTGAACGAACATGTACTTTCTCTCTCTCTCTCTCTCTCTCTCTCTCTCTCTCTCTCATTCCCATTCGTGTATGCGTAAGTAATTAACATTTACAAACGATAATGCGTGAGTATCATTTCCGATACGCGGAAGAACCTAATGGATGAAAAGTTTTCAAGTAAAATGAATATAAGTGTTTAAGATTAGTCATTTCCTCTTTTTCTCTTTTCTTAAAAAGTAGTCAAACTATCTACTGTTATTTATCGAACACATTTTTTTTCACGATAGTTTTATCGAGGTCAAACGAATCTCTCAGATATGTTTATCTTCAATTGCTTTAGTAGGCTAAGATCATTAAAGAAAATACAAATTCGAAGAAGAAAATTTGTTGTGATTCTTTAAAACATTGTTCAAGTGTTTTGTTTAAAGAAAATTACCTTTGATTTTTTGAAAAAAAAATTTATCGTCGAATTAACCAAGTTGAATAGTTTTTGTGTTTCGTAAAATTTTACTTGTATATATCTGCATAAATACATATATATAATATATACCTATATCCTTACATTTACGTATATACATATACGTTGGTAAGACTCAGTTAGATCGCGTGTAAAACGCACTGGCACGATACACTGTGTCGGTTCAACAATACAAACGGGCCATCGTTAAACTGTTGCCGTTAAATTGCCGCAGCGAAGTACTCCAGAAACGGAAGGAACTGGCCAGTAACAGTGGCAGCAGAAGCAGTAGCAGTAGCAACTGCGACAACGTCAGCAACGGAAAGGCTCTTCGCTCAGTGCAAGATATACCCCTTAACGTTCCAACAGGAGCCCTACCCCTTGCCCCTATAAGAGCAAGTGAGATGCTACGAAAAGGGATGCTGCGAGAGATAGCTCTCCCTATTGCGGCACCGTAAAGACGAATTAACGTACACATATACCAGAGATGCACTCACCGTACGAACTAAAGGAGATACATTGCGAACGGAGCTTGTGCTCTGGAAGCTGCTGCTAGGAGCACTTCGTCTCCCCTCACCTTTCCTTCTCGTTTATTGGACAGTCTTTTGAAGAGACTTCGTTTGAAAGCCAAGATCCTCGAATCTCCCAACTAAGATCTTCACGAAAGGAATGCAATCTTAAGAGAGATAGAGAGAAAGAGAAAGAGAGACTTGCAAGGAAAGTCATGAAACGAGCAGGTAAAGTCGGTAAGAGCTCACTAAACGAAAAATACGTTCTAGCTGCGTCTCATTCATTTCCTTCTAACGACAAATTTACTCGATTCTATTAGATCTGTGGTGAGATGAAATTACGTGCAAATATAGGTATTGGCAGATATATATAACTGAGAAGAGATTATGTTCTTTTCTTTTTCTTTTTTTATGCCTACAATTTATTTCTTCTTAGGAAAAGATTTGCATAGTGGAATACTTGGTTGGATAAAAGATAAATATAATACAATTCTTATCTATATTACAGTTTTTCTTTTTCTTTTCTTTTTGATCAAGAATTACAGTTATATAAATAAACATAAAGCGTTATAACGTCAAAAGCAGTATTAAAATTGTGTAAAGAACGACATATATCTAAATCGATCGCATTAAATCGTATACGTGAGATCAATGATAATTATTTAAGAAGAAGGTAAAGGTAGTGGCTTGCATTTTGCTTTCCTTGGATAATCACAGGTCTTCAATGCATCATGAAAATGTAGACCAGGTGGACACTTCATTAAAATCGGTTCGCCTTCGACGCAAACATAGTATGAGTCGCAGTGATATGGATCCTTAAGCAGAGTAGCATTTGGACCGTCCTCATCTGGACACTCGGGTTCAATTATTGGCTCCGTAAAAACGACAGCGATGTAAACCAAAATGGTAATAGCGAAAATAACTAAAATATTAAATTTACGGATTAGAACACACAAACATATAGATTTATTATCTACAAACTGAAAAACTTAGAAACTGTCTATTTTTGAATTATTCATGATTCATAACCGCATTATATATTAAAGTAACGTGCTCACCTTTCATTTTTGATAAATAGAGACACACTTTGAGTATAACACTAGTTAATGAGTATACTGTCTTTTCGATACTTAGGCAAACGTATCTGCCTTCTACCTTATATACCTGACTGATAAATTTACTCTTATCAATATCATTAAAACTCAATCTTCCCATCTTGCTCTTGCTCCATATTCCTTATCATATATATATAAATCAGAAAAGTGAGATATCACAGCGATAATATTCGAACACAATTACACATAAACCAATAAATAAAACTTCGATTTCTTATGACGTTGGTAGACGAAAGATTCCTCGAATGGTTGACTGCTCCTATTGTCTGAATGAAAAGAAAAAGAATATAGTAATTCGAAGAAAAAGTGGACTTGTAAGTGAGAGAGAGAGAGAGAGAGAGTGTGAGAGAGAGAGGGTTAAACGAGAGACGGAAGAAAGAGGTGTCGACGTCGATGGGCGGGGGTGGAGAAGAGGGCAGCGTGGGAGAGGCTGCCTGACACTCGGACAATACTGGCGTGCTCCTGTCGCGTTTGGTTCCTGGTTATGGCGGGTGCACAATGCCTATTGTCGGGCAACCCACCGTACAAACGTGTGTGTCGACGCTTTCACAAAATGGGCCGACGCTCTATTTCTCTCTCTCTCTCTCTCTCTCTTTCTCTATCTTTCTCTCTCTCTAACTATCTCTATTTCTCTTCCTCTTACTCAGTCACTCTCTTTCCTTCCACGTCACTCTTTACTACTCTGTCTTTCGGTATTTTTCTTTTTCTTTCTCTCTCATTTCCGTTCTTCACCCTTTTTACTTCATCCGTTATCCACTCGTTTCCTTCCATATCGTAGTTTTTCCAATGCACGCTTGGCCGTCGCTCGGCTCCTTAAGACATCGACCTGTTTTTGGCAAAGTATATACACATACCGTTGGCACGACGACTAGAACACGATATCGACTTTTCTTTTTGTCTTTTTACTAAGAAAAGAAAAGAAGAATAAAAAAAAAAAAAAAAAAGGAAAGAAAAGAAAGGAAATGAAAAGAAATTCGAGAGATACGAGACAGAATAGAAAAATGCACAACGAAAAGATCAAAAGTTCACGATCGGATTTGTATGATGAAATCAATCGCGAACAATATTTACGCCTCATTAACTGCACATTTCGTTCTATGCGTGAATAAAGATCAAATTTAAATTCGACCAAATCGTGCGTTAATTCTCTCTATCGCTAAATCGCGAAATTTGTTATCGACAGATTATTCATTTCGTTGACAATGGTCTCGCATTTTGGATGATCGGCTAATGCAGATCGATAGAAAGTGGCTTATCGATAGATTTCGTTTATCTTCCTCTACGATAGAACAAAATTAATTTGGCTATAGATTAATGTTTAATAATTTGAAGATTATTTTATTGTTAGAATTTCTGATAACGATACTGGTTATCTTTAACATTATTGCTTGTTTCTGATAAATTAAGGAATATGCGCAAAAACATTGAAAGATCTTATACGATCAAGAAAGGGTAATTTATTTTTGTATTGGTTATTTTAATTTAAAAAAAAAAAAAAAGAAAGAAACAATATTTCCTAACGAAATTTCCTTGAATTTTATTTTAAGATATTATCTCTCACGATTATCTGTTAATTTCATATATACTTATCGTAAATGTAAATATCTATTAATAAAGAAAATATTACTCATTTATATCAATAAATAACACTGTTAGAGATAAATCGAGTGGAAATAAACGAAAGGGTGAGCTTGAAACGTTTACGCGCTATATCCTAAAAGTTCTTGATAATATTTGAAATTCGAATTTAATCACGCTTCATTGTTCGAAAGCACGCAAGGAATTTCTGATCACAGGAGAATTTTATTGCATCCTGAACACGTCGAGGTAACGAGGTATCCGAAGTAACGAGGAAAAGAATTCGCTTCGTTACGTTGTGAGGGGATACAGTGTACAAAGTAAGAAGGAGTGTGAGAGAAAAAAAAAAGAGAAGTAAAAAAAGTAAGACAAGAAGCTGAAGAAGCTGAAGAAGAAAAAATAAAAGAAGATGGAAGAAGAATGGTGAAAGAGAAAGGGATAGAAAAAAAGGCAGAAGTATAAAAAACCTGTCGAGCTTCCTGCAAGTATAACACAATGTTCATAATTTGAATCGAATCGTTTGCAAATCTCGATCCTCGTTTTCGTTAGATCTTATTCTCAAACGTTCGCGAGCCAGACACGGAAATTGGTTTCGATTCAGGAAATGAGACATTTCGATCGACGCAGAGCATCGAACGAGAATGATCGTCGAAAATCGTTCGACGGTTACGAGTGGAAATTCAACGGCTTCACGGCTGCCTCCTGTCAGTGTGCTGTTAAACAAACGCCAAAACGGAAAAGTGCTTTCGAGAGTTTCGACGATATCGATTTTACTGGATTCACTTTGAAAGAATCCTACGTTTTACCTACCAACAGATTTTAACATCTTCTTTTCGAATCTTCGTTTTTTTTTTTTTTTTAGAAATCATATGATAAGATTTATTATTTAATATTATTGTTTTGTATTTTATAGAAAAAGAAGCAATTCAAGGAGAGAATATAAATTACGGTTATTAAATCAGACGTAAAAATCATCGACGATAATTGCTTACAAAGTTTTAAGGAGATGAGATTAAACTTGAAATACATTTTCATCGCGTAAGGTTTCTTCAAAACTCGCGAGCTTACACGGATTAGTTTATCTCGTCCTAGAGTTTTCCGTTGAATCGACGTGCATCTTGAAAATCCGTGAAATGGATCAGTCTGATCTTTTCTCTTCTAGTTCGTAGATAAGTTTAAGCGTTAACTGAATGACGAAAAAAGAAATATAAAGAGTCTGACCCACCATACGCTCCCATCCTCCTTCCTATGCATGCATATGTATATACATATATACAAAGAGAGAGAGAGAGAGAAAAAGATAGACATACATATAAAACATTGGAGATTTCGCACTACTCGCCATATTGGCGTACACGCCGCCTGCATTTTACGGCCGTATTCAGCGATTTTGCATATCGAACGGTGCACGAGAGTATGTGCAGGAAAAAGGTAGATAGGTAGATAGGTAGGTAGGTAGGTAGGTAGGTAGGTAGGTAGGTAGATGGGTAGAGCTTGGTATGGAAGGTGAAAGAGAGAAGAAAAGAGGTCGTTTTCGTTTTTCTCTCACCTCAGTTGAGAAGCACTGCAAACCCATTCACATATACGGCAATCGTAGAAGCGGTCTCCTTGAAAGCTCAATTTATCTCGAAACGGCCTCCTCTGCTATGGTACAAAGAGCTCGTATCTATCTATCTACAGCATCGATTCGTTAAAATGAGAGAGAAAAAGATAGAGACAGAGAGAGAGAGACAGACAGAGAGAGAGAGAGAGAGAAAGAGAGAGAAAACCCTAAAACAAATTGTCATAAGCAAATAAGCAAAAAGATGAGCGGGAGTACCCGTTTTCGACCGTCGAAGGGTACTTCGTAACTTAACTCGAAGCTCATACGAGTCGATCCATTTAATCCTCGAGTGTACCTCGAGTCCACTCGATACCGGATCCAAAGTTCCCTCGTGCATCCAAACTTTCCACCCACTTTCCACGAGTCGCGTATACTTATCAAAATTTCACGTAACCTATCGAATCGTTTCACGAAATCGCTTTCGTTGGTTAGAAATTTTGCTAGATTTCACAGGGATGGTAGGAGGCGGAGTGAAAGGGTTAAAAAAAAATAATTATTCGAGTTACCACTTCGTGTCGTGATTTTTAATAGAGACGTAGAGTTAAAGGGTTTTTACTTGGATGGGTATTAAGTAATAAACGAGTTGTTATGTATCGATTCGTTTTTCGTAACTTTCTTCTTCTTTCGAGTTTATCTCACAGCGAGATTCAAGACACGAATCGTTCTCTCTCCTACAGGGGAAAAAAAAGGTAAAGCTTCTAAAGGATAGAAGAAGAAAAAGTAGAAAGCGATGTGGAATAAACGAGTCCACTTGATTGCAAAGTTACGGATATCGAAAGGGAAGGAGAAAGGGTGCCTTTAACGGTCTTTTATTTGACCAGCCGCATTTTCTCTTTTTATTTCTTTTTTTTTTTTTTTGCACTGACGTTATCGACGGTCTCGTGGTAATTCGGCGAGTTTCAAGAAAGGAAAGGATAAGAGATCGGGAAATCGGAGAGGAAGAGGTTAATCGAACGACAAGCTGATCGCTAATTTTCCTCTTGAGACACGGGAGAACGCGTTTTGCGTGCCTGTTACTCTCTATCTCGGAACACCCTTTGTGAGATAGATCGAAATATATTCTTCTTTCTCTCTTTCTCTCTCTTTTTTTTCTCTCTCTCTTCTTCTTTTTTTGTCGGGGAAAAATTTATCGTTCGTTAACTCGCTAATCCCTACTTTCATTTCTTCGTCACGCGAGATCCACGATGATCTTTTATCGTTTGATAGCACGGTAAATTAGATATTCTCATTGAGAAAGAAAAGAACGCAAGAAAAGAGAGAGAGAGAGAGAGAGAAAAAAAGAGAAAAAAAGCAAAAAAAATAAAAAGTGACGCTATGCGATATCACCGATATAGACCCGTACTCATTTCGTTAGATAAAAATATCAAACGGATAAAGTAGATACTCGAATTAAAGTGGTTAAATCGAGATACCGTATCAGATATCAGCCATCGTCGATTCGATGAAATTGTGTTGCTTTCGCCAATAGAAAAGTACATTCAGGAATATTTGAAAACTTCGTTGAGTTCTATGGAATAAGTTGCAAGTAGGAAGAACTTTTTTTTTTTTTTTAAGAAAAATTTCATTCCTACGAAGAATGGAAAATATCGTAATAGCGTAGAATTATTTATAATTAATTGCCAAAAAAATTGAAATAACAGAACATATGTAGATAAAGATAAAGAAAAAGAGAGTATTCTAACACAGTGTTTTACACCTTTTGTATTAGCATTAGATGATCAATTCGAAACTTGTTGCGTTGACGTACATTCGGTACGAAGACAAATTGGAAACTAGTCAGAGATTTGTCATAGATTCGTGTCGGCAACATGTCGAGCTAGATACGATTACTCTCTGCTAGAAATAGAGGATGAGTAATACGAATATACAAAGTGACATACGACATCGGCATGAAATTCAAGTCTCGAATATGCCTACTTATCGTGTATTCAAAGCTCGCATTTGATATCTACAATAATTCGATTTCAACTAACAAAAGATTAACAACACCGAACGTATTATTACATTTGTTCTCATAGTATTTTATAAAAATCTAAGAAAACATTTTTCTTCTAATAAAATTTATATCTTCCTTTTACGCTCTCTTTTCTGTCAGTTTTTTTTTTTTTTTTTTTTTTATTTCCATTTTCTATATTCTCCTGTGTAGCTTCTTGAATGTTTCACAAGAAATTTCTTTGGCTGATCTGATAAGAGCAGACTACCACTAAAATTTGAATCGAATCCCCTTGCACATTCCAAATAATTCTTGGTTTCATCTTGAATAAAAGCAACGGGACCATGAGGAAGGAGAAATAAAAATATCTGACCACGGTACCGTAGAGTCTCTCGGTGGTCATTCGATATTTACGAAGACTCGTGAGTCACGAGGACTGCACATCCGGGAAGCAGCAGAATGTGTATTCTACGAGCAGACCGTGAGTAAAGTCAGGAACCAGAGTTAAGTTAGAGTAAGAGAAAGAGAGGCAAGAGGATCGTCTTCGTTTTTCCGAATTCCCGCAAGAAATCGTTGATCTTCTCTTTCTTCTAAGTTTTTCATCGATCTTTCTCTCTTCTCTTTTCTTTTTCTTTTCTCTCTCTCTCTCTTCTTATCGATCCTAATAAATATCAGAATTTTCTTTCAAAATTAGTAGTTTGGTATTTCTGAATAGTTCGTAGGTTAGATAGATTTTCTCGAAAACAAAGCCTCAAACGAAAAATTTTTATTTTATATTTTCGATTTATTTTCTCGTGCAGAATCACCCCCTTTTTGCTTGTACTACCAGTTACTGATCACCCTGTATATACATATATATTTTGCACGACATTTTACAAATAGTTGAAGAGTTTGTTGATACACTATCGACTGACTATCCTTTCATTGTGATGTAAAGCAAAAAAAAAAATTAAAAAATAAAATAAAACAAAATGTCTATATCAGCTTTTCTATTACTGATTCGATCGTAGAAAAATAAACATTTTCTATAGACACACATAGTACTGTATTTACTAGTACACATTTACCAACTATCATGCGACACTTTGACGATGTACCAAACATCGAGAGACGAAATAATAAACGGATGGGTACTTTAAGCTATCTATGGCAACGATCAAGTTTTTATTGAATAATTAAAAACGTCAGTGGCAGAGCTCGGGCGTGGGCTCTCTTACGATGTTGAGTGCGAGAGGTTCCTCTTGAAATTTGCATAGCTACTTCAACTGTGGGAACTAGTTTGAAATATGGGCTTTTATTATTTTCGAGGTGCTTCACCCCATTAAACGTGGAAGAGTTCAACGAATGGAGTAAGTAATAATAAAAAAGAAAAAGGGGACGTTACAAATAAGATGATTTATTTCAATCCTTTATTATTTTCTATCTAACGTGAAATAAACGAAATCGTGATGAAGTCATTTCCAATGAATTTTTCTCACCGCAACGAGCAAGCGAAAAGGGAGAGGAGTTTCCCTAACTTGTTTCGCAAAAGATAAAAGGAGAACTAGAGGTAGGAAGAGGAAGGGAAAAGAGCAATATGCAAGATATTGGCTGACCAATGCAGAGAGGATACTATTCCTGTTAGTATTGCCGATGCAGCCGGTATAAAGTAGGGTCCCCGATAAAGCGGCAGTCGGATGGCGGATGGCGTGACATTTATCGCACGTGTTCCACGTGTCGACATTACGATTTCGAAAAAGTCTTGTCTTGTCCATACTTTTCCTTGGACGCGTAAAATGTTACGGGTAGTAGGAGTTTGGCCGGTTTCCAAGCGAAAGATCAAGCGATCTTTTACAAATACGATATGCGAGCACGTTTGAAGTATCAACTTAAAGTAAGCATCTCTTTTTTCATTTTTTTTTTTTTTTATATATATACCTTGCTTTAAATTTCATCTTGAAATGCTTCTTCAAAAACAAATTCCAATCATTCAAATTATAACACTACCACCACCACCACCACTTTGGATCAGAGTTCACTCGAAGCTATGCAAAGAATAACAGTAATCTGGATAAGTAGGTAAAGCAAGAGACAAGAAGGAAAAAGGGCTCGACAAAGAGAACAGAGAATTTCTCGTTTAGCAGCACAGAGAAAGAAAGACGGAAAGAGTCAGAGAGAAAGATATAAGAGAGATGAGAGACGAGAGTTTCGTCGTAGGCGACTTTGTTCATCAGCCAAACGAATACAAATCTGTTGCAAGCTCATTGGGTACAAGGAAATGTAAACGAATGAGGATCATAAGACCCGAGACGAGCAAACTAGATTCCAGGTCTTTCTGTATCTACCACCAAGTCGACTCAAATCAGTCTGACGTTGCTGCTTTTGTTAGAAAGAGCTTCGCGTTATGCTATGCAAATTGCCATTTTACGACCTACCGGATTACAACAAAAAAATAACTTACAACGCATGCTCCTGCACTTTTTCTTTCTTGAGAAATAACTAGTGTTTTTTATATTCTTTGTTTTATCTCTTTTTTACTTTCCACCTTTTCATCATCATTATTCTTGATTTTCTTTATCTCTCTCTCTCTCTTCCACTCAATAACCGAACGTTTGCAATGTCGTCGCAGCATTTAAACATCTCACGCCGTTCCGTAAATACTAACTTTGTGTCGTCCAAGAGGTTTATCCAACTTTCAAGGTCAATTTACGAATTACTTACAGAGCCTCGCCCTTCTCGGTCACTTGGTAAATTCCTCTGGCCCCCGCTAATCATCGCCATGCTCTCCTGAGAAAGTTTCAAAGAGAAATGAACTATTCATTGCGGTCGACCCCTTACAGTATTCGCCATCCTCATCTCCGTATCTTCTTTCCTCTTTTACCTTTCCGCCTGCCTCCTACTTGATGATCTCTCTCCGTACCCTTACATCTGCTCTTTCCTTTTCTTCTTCTTCTATATAGCAGTGAATTAGAAAAGGATGGAAGACTAAAAACCTAGCTAAAGGAATGAGAAAGACCGAAATGATAGGGAGGAAAGAGAAAAAGGTAACAGCCAGGCAGAACGTTGATATCATGACTGTCGGCACGGCCACCGCGTCCTTTCATAACACTAAATAATT